CAAAGACCATAACCCACGCCTAACTGCACGCCCTCCCGACAATGAATCTCACTGCCCTCCATGATGATGCCGCATAAGTGAGTGCTCCCTCCCCTTGCGCTACCCCTCTCTAGATGCCCCTCCCCATAGCCACCCCAACGGACAGCCGCCCGCCTCCTACCCAAGGGCCTTAGCCTCATGTGTGTTAATCTGCATATGCCTACTGTACTCCAACCGTATCCAAGTCCGCGGGTTCCCCATTTACCGTCCTCCCCTGAACATAACCCGTATGCGTTATGTAAACGTATACAATGCATAGGTTGCTTTCTATTCAAATACAACGTTTGTGTGAACTTTTCGAACAGCCCTTAAATTCGAATACAGCGTGCATGCACTCTATTCGAATCATCGATTTTTTCCGAAAACTCGAATACAACTGATGTGTTATGTTCAGGGGAAGACGGTAGTCCGCCCTCGAGTCCTGTGAGACTTCCCTACCACCCATACATCAGGGTCCCTAGGCTCTGCAAAACCAACCTACCTCCTGCAATTCAGGGTAGACCACACCCCTAATCTGCACTCCCTCCCAACAACGACTCTCACCACGCTTCGCAATGATGCCCTGCCCTGGTAAGCAAGCGCTCCCTCCCCTGGGACTACGCCTCGAGGGCCCCTCCCCATAGACACCCTATGGGACAACGCCCCTCCGCCTATCCAAGGCCCCCTAGCCTCAGGTGTGTTAATCTGCATATGCCTACTGTTTTCCACCTGTAACTGACCCTATGGGACAACGCCCCATGGGTTCCTCATATAGTCTGCCCTTGACTCCTGTGAGCCTACCCTGCCACCTGCAGAGTTGGGCCCGAAGATCCTGCCCACCTCCCTTTACTCAGGATAGACCACACCCTCATCTGCACTGCCTCCTGACAATGACTCCTTCCGCTTTTGTGATGATGCCTGCGTAAGCGCGTTTCCTTCACTGGTGCCACCGCTCAAGACGTCCCTTCCCATATGTGCCCCTATGAGATGGTTTCTCTCCTCCAAACAACCCTCTAAATACCCGTGTGTAGGAGCAGTCAGATAGTTCTTCCCCTCCTCCTCCCCTCTGCCTCTCTTTCTTACGTGCGCCTGCTTGGTTTTCCAATGGCCGCGCAAGAGTTTTGGACATATTGTCTGTTTTACTCAGTTAGAAAATGAACTAAGCATCATTTAGACTACTACTAATTACTAATTAGAGAACAGGAAAAAGAAACTGTTTTCCTTTATGGAGCATGAGGATGTCTTTCCAAGAACGATCTGCAGTTTCCTCATCTGATGGCTGCAACTCTCTCTCTCTCTCTCTCTCTCTCTCTCACACACACACGCACACACACACACACACACACACACACACACACACACACACACACACACACACACACACGGGCGTGCGTGCGTGCACGGTTTTTCTGGTTTTTTTTTTGGGGGGGGTTCCCAATTGAAGAAGGACCAGATATGAAAGTGATCGAACAGATAATNCTCTCTCTCTCTCTCTCTCTCTCTCACACACACACACACACACACACACACACACACACACACACACACACACACACACAAACTTGACTGTAAGGTCAACGCTGTGTTGTATTCTGGGGAGCAGCAGTTCGGTTTGTTTCGGGCAATAAATAACTCAGAGGATTAATCATTAATTAAAGAATGACAGAGTACGAAATTATCCATCTAAGAGTCCGCTGGCGGCGTTGATTGCTTTCTCTGTGGAAAGGATTAATCATTAATTAAATTTAACTTAACTCTTGTTCTTCTGAACATCCTTTAAAATTGCAATGATACAGAGAAGATTAGCATGGCCCTTGTGCTTCCAAGGATTGACATGCATGAATCGAGATCGAGAAATGGTCGAAATAAAGAAAAAGCGGATTAATTTAACTCCCAGGGTTAGAACTTAGAACTTAGAACGCTGAGGGTAACCGAACTGTAATCGTACTTTCGTCTATATTCTCTCAGCGGTTGAAAGTTCCCTCACTGAACTGCAGCTTCCATGATGAGCCAGTGCTGCCGAATCTCATATCTTAAAATTGAAGAGTTGGTGTTTCATAATTTCATTATCTTAAACTTGGTATTTTTTTACTAAACCCAAATGTGCAAAACCCGCTCTTTCCGTTATCATTCCTGAGCTCTATCATCTTCCATGCTTTCAACTCGCTGTCATTTTTTTTGTCTTTTTGCAGTCTTATGATCATCATCATTCGGAGCTGTTCCTCAGACTTTGAACTGCAAAGAGGGAAATTGAATCGGGTATCATCGCCGCCAGAAACGGAAGGTCTCATTGCATAAGATAGTCAATAATAGTCGTGGAGCTTTCGTACCAATTTGCCAAACCTGAAGTGAGATACCACACGATAGAGGACTGACGAATCAGCCAACAAACCGGACGAAGGACTGTGACCGGGAAACACTTTGGCGGTAGCTTCGGTCCAAACGGAACCACTGGATCGGAACCGGAACTGAAGGAGCTGCTCGGTTTGGGACAGGACCGGGCCCAGTTTGGGACAGGAGCTGACCCAGTTTGGGGCAGAAGCTGGCCCAGGTTGGGACAGGTTGACCAAGGTTGGGACAGGAGTTAACCCAATCTGGGACAGGAGTTGACCCAATTTGGGACAGGAGCTGACCCAGTTTGGGTCTGCAGGGTCTCACACATGGGAGAATAGGCATTTGCTGAAAATGTTAGGAGAGCAGGAAACAGAGTCACGTCAGTTTTGACTTGTACGATGGGTGGTGGGACGGTACCACCACTGGAGAGGGTGGGCAAGAGCAACGCGGCTAATGGGCAGTCCCCAAAGCGAGGCAACATGATATCCGCAAACCGGTCTGTGACTAATGTTCCGACGAAAAGCCATGTGATTGAGTTCTATAACCCGCCTGTCCCTCTCCTCCGTATCCCAGTGCCCGAGGAGGCTGCCAGTGTCGGGGACAACACGGAAACTTCAGATCGTATCGCAGGGAAGCCGATGTATGTGCTAGCTTTCCCAGACGAGGCTTCGAAGAATGCAGCATGGGATAGATGCAAGGAACGCATCGCGACTCAGTGCGAGGCTGGTGCCAGAATGGGTTGTTCCATTGCTGCCTCCCGGAAGTGCCAGTTGCCCTGGTACATGAACGTGCTGCCTTTCCGTGGGCCGAAATCGAGCCAGGAGCTCCGTGAAGAATGTGAGGAGAGGGTGATGGAGGCGTGCATTGCGGATTCAAAGCAGAGGTGTGCGGCTCATGCTGCCGATGCATGTGCCCCAGCATTTGCGTGTGCCAGAGTTGCTGGCCCTGAGTTTACAGAGGACGATGGCAAGTGATTCAACTGTTAATAATGTTGTGGTAAATAATTCAGTCCGCTCCAACCGGGTTAAATCTGTGGCTTTGAAAATCAACTGCCACTCCTGCACGCCCTCCACGGCCAGATATGACTTAGATCTGTGGCATATTCAAATTGTACGACCACTGCTGCTGCATGCCGTAGTGAAAACCATGCCCAGATGACCGGAGGCCGCACTGTCGGTTTACCAGCCTGCCTGCCGCCCGTCGGACAAGTATTCGATGCAAATTTTTTCTCCAGGTGCAGATCGAGTGTGCGGTAGTGGTGGTTAATGCTTTTTTCCCAATCGAATAAGACACTGAGCGGCGCTGCATGAGCACGCATGCCAGTGGTGCTAGGACTCGGATGCCGCGGTCAAACAATCGACAACCGAGTTGGACGAACGCAGACTGCTGCTAGTTCTCATGCCTCCCCCTCCTCACCTGAAAACAAATGGTAGGTGGTCTTGTGACTCTTGTTCAGCATAGGGGATAAGGAAAGCCATGCTGTGGACTGTGTGGAAAGAGAGCAGCACCAAAACAATCGATGAGGAAGACCATAGACAAGGGAGAGGGAGTCAGCCAAGAAGGTAGGGAAGAAAGTAGACAGGGGAGAGAGAGTAAGCCAAAAAGGTAGGGAAGAATGTAGACAGTGGAGAGAGAGGAATCCAAGGAGGTAGGAACAAAAGATCTCATTGCTGAGGAGGAGCTCGAATACAGAGATGAAAGAGAGTACAGTGAAGCTATTAGGAGGAGAGCCGCCAAGAAAGCACAATCAGAACAACCGATGAGGAAGAACATAGACAGGGGAGAGAGAGTAAGTCAAGAAGGTAGCGAAAAATATAGACAGGGGGGAGAGAGAGAGAGAGAGAGAGAGAGAGAGAGAGAGGGAGAGAGAGAGATCATTGCTGAGGAGAGAACATAGACAGGGGAGAGAGAGTATAAGTCAAGAAGGTAGGGAAGAACATAGACAAGGGGGAGAGAGAGAGAGAGAGAGAGAAAGGTGGTTGCTTTCTATTCGAATACTATCCATGTACGTTCTATTCTAACGGCTGGTATATTCGAATACAACTCATGTGTTCTATTCGAATCATCAATTTTTTTTCCTTAAAAACTTGAATACAACGCATATGCGTTCTATTCGAATCATCATTTGTTTTCCTCTCGAAAACTTGAAAAAGACGCATGTGCATTATGTTTGGGGGAGAAGACGGTAGTCGATCCGAGCGTCTTCTGTACAATGTGCTGTGCTCAAGCCCTAAAAGAAACAGACTCCTGCAGGCGTGATGTTGCCGGGCACCATGTGCCTTTTTCTCCCGCGGCCTCTGACGGTTTTGCGGTCCGTTAACCGGTGTTTTGGAACTCGGTACCAGAGAGACGAACTGGCGTCTTCACCCGAATAGAACGCCCGGTCATTATTGCTGCATCTGGACTGACAGCTGGACCCGGTGCAGCTATAATGACTGGGCGTTCTATTCGGGTGAAGACGGACTAGTGGTTGACATTGGGTGTCCACAATTAGAGGTGGATATGCTGAAGAGGGTGTGCTCGATGCACACGCGCATACACATACACACATGAGGGTTCACTGTTTTCCTTTTTTTCAAATTTTTGTATATTTTTTTTCTTTGTACTCAAATTTCGATTGGGAATTCAATATCACTTCGCGCCAAAAGTTGTTTGTCTTTGCGCAAGCTCTCTTTTTCAGTTTTGTTTTCAGACACCGTACTTACCTGTGTGTACACAGTACTACACACGCAATGCCTCCCTGGTCTGATGTTTTACCCTCTCTGTATTTCTGGATCTAGATTTTGACAGGGTTTCATGATTGTTTGCATATATGATCAGAATCTAGTTTCAGAAATATTCATGATCAGAATCTAGTTTCAGAAATATTCATGATCAGAATCTAGTTCCAGAAATATTCATGATCAGAATCTAGTTCCAGAAATAGTCATGATCAGAATCTAGCTCCAGAAATCTTATTGAGTGGCCGGTAAAATTTAAGAGAGAGGGGACGGTAAAATTTAAGAGAGAGCGAAACATTAGAGCAGAATCTAGTTCTGTACCAACGAGGCTAGCTGAGTTGGTACACCCCACCTGGACTGCTGAAATACAGACTAAAGTTCGAATCCAGATACTATCAGATGCCCAGAATAACATAATTCTGAATTGCATGGGGCCGGTCAGCTTCACTGATGATATCTCAAGGCCGTCGCCCTTTTTTTTTTTTTCCCCCTAGGCTACCGGAGTGTCCCGGGACCACTTGCCCGGCTGGGCCAAAAAATAATATTTTGCTTTTATTCTTTGTTCCGCAAAGTGCGCTCTTTTAGTTTGTAGTGATGTGACAATATATTGTTGTCCTCTTCTCTCTCTCTGCCTACGGTTTACCGGGCAGTTCTGTTTGTGACGATATATATCGTCATATATATATATATATATATATCGTCAAATAGAACTGCCCGGTAAACCGTAGGCAGAGAGGGAGAAGAGGACAACAAACGAGGGGCTGTGACAAACTGTTTCGTCGGAGTTTCACCGACTCACTTGTTTGTTGTCCTCTTCTCCCTCTCTGCCTACGGTTTACCGTAGGCAGCTCTGTTTGACGATATACAGAGCTGCCCGGTAAAACCGTAGGCAGAGAGGGAGAAGAGGACAACAAACGAGGGGCTGTGACAATTTGTATATTTAAAAAAAAATTATTTCCCTTAGCGGGTCTGGCGTCACGCTCCCGCGAGAACCCGCATCCACTGTTGGGAACGCTGTGGGACAGCTTGCCTTGGGCCCGTCGGCGAGCGTCCAGTTGTTTGGGGTTGTCGACGTTCGCGAATCGACGGCGGCAGTCCTGCCGGATCGCGAACGTTCCATTGCGCTGTGTAGGAGCACTTTGTGTTTGTTTTTGTTTTTTTGCGTATGAGACTGAATTCTCCTCTGGAACATGGGGAGATACACAGGTTCCCTTTTGTTCGTTTGTTTCGTTTCTTTTTTTTTTGTCGTTTTGCCAGTTTTTTTGTTCGTTTCTTTCCTTTTCTTTCTTTTTTCTGTCGTTTTGCGGGTTTGCTTTTGTCCCGCCCGTTGTTTTCGTTTTGGCCTGAGGGTCTCGCTGCACTACTCTCCAAATGTGCAAATGAGACTGAATCCACTGCTAGAACACGGAGAAATACATTGCCATCTTTTTTGGCTTTTGCGCACGTGGAGAGTACCAAGCGTTCGCTCCGCAGCTCTCCAGATGTTCGGAAAATGAGACTGGATCCTCAGGCAGAAAATGGCAAGATGCACCGGTTTTCCTTTTTTTTGTCGTTTTGCAGGCCCTGCATCGGGAAAGTTCGTTTTGCTTTAGCATGGCTCCTGCGCAGAGAGTTGATTTCCACGGCGCCGCGCTGCATGCCGTGGGCGTAGCTTTTTTTTTTTTTTTTTTTTTTTTGTTCCCCTGCTCTTAGTCCCCGCCGCGACTTCCTCATGTTTTAGTTTAAATTTGGTAAAGAAATTCGATGTGACCCTGAGGCAAACGTTGTTCAGTTTATTTTTCTGCATTGCATAATCTTTTTTTCAGAATTTTTGTAGTTTTCTTTTTGGCTGGGACTTTCTATTGTCCTTGCACAGCCGGCCAGCCCGGGCAAACAAGGTGACCCGGGTGGCCCGGCTGGTAGTCTAGTCTTTTTTTTTTTTTTTTTTTTTTTTTTTTTAAGATCAGAATCTAGTTCTCCACATGCAATTTCTCCCCAATTAGAATCTAGTTGCAGAGATATAGAGGGAGTGGAAGCATAGAAAGTGGAGACACGGCGCGCTGGACCCATTTTTCCATTGTGCCAATGTGAAAATGAGGCAGATGGGTGTGTGGCAGCTGATTGTTTCTTGGCCATTTTGCCCGTCCCCTTGTTTCCAGCGACCAACAATGCTATTAAACGACCAGAACCTTGGAGCCTATTTTTTGCATACCTCCAAAGCGCCGTGCGCCAAGTCCCGCCGAGCCTGGCGGTGGGCTGTACTGGAAGGTAGGAAAGGATGAAGTTTCAGCGCGTTGCTGGCCTTTCCCTGGTCCAAGCGGCAAGGATGGACGGCAACGGGTGGTTGTTTTTGATACCTGCCGTACGGGGGCTGCACAGGAACAGATGGGAGAATGGATGGCGTTGTTTCGTTTGTTTGTTTTAGTGATTTTTTTTGTTTTGTTTTGTTTTTGTTTCATTTTTCGGTTGCATGTGATTTCTAAGATGCATCTTGCATGCCATGTGGTGTCCAATCCACCGTCCACTCTGCGGCGGGGCACTGTTGAAGGCTTACTTGACATTTGTGTGTGTGTGTATGTGTGGCTGACTGCACGACACAGCGATGATACGATGGTCTTTAATAGGCCGTCGTTGGTCGTCGTTGTGTGCGATCACCTCACATCCAATCACCACCGCAGGAGTGAGAAACCTCTCGTATCATTGCTGTGTCGCAGTCGGCCATGCACACACACACACACACACACACACACACACACACACACACACACACACACACACACACACACACACACACACATGTCATGCGATTGCACAGACAACGACGACCAACGATCGTGACGAGGACACCCGCGAATGGAGAAATGGTCCAAATTAAAACACACCCTTTCATGTCATCGACAAGACATGTGAAAGGATGTGATGTGAACATGCAAAGTAATGTTCCCATCCCATCCTTTCATGTCCGTGATCCGAGGAAAACTGTTCAATCACAACCCCCCGCCCCCCGGATGACGATCATAACCCCCCAAAAGAGGTTTTATCATTTCGTCCGGCTGATGTGGTCACCAGATGGCGGACAACATAGGAACACATCCGGGAAAAAAAAATTGTGGGACTTCTGAACTACGGCCTTTACACGGATATAGAACATACCCCTTCTCATCGTTATCGCTGTGTCTAGGGCGACAGTTGCCGCAAAATACAGCTATAATGACTGTATGTTGTAGTTGGGGGAAGACTGTCCAGCAACAATGCCAACCGGGTGCATGCCTTGTCATCGTGACCCTCCATCGACCGTGGCTGCCGTCTTGCCCTGAACAACACAAGGCACCCTGGTCAGAAATGTATACGAGCTATCTTTCTGGTTCGATACGGTCATGGCAAAGGCTTTCTCAACCCCTGAGCACAAGGCCCCCGGATCAGAAATGCTTACAATCTTTCTTTCTGGTCCAATACGGTCACGATGAAGGTCCGTTGTGTTGCGGGGAAGACGGTAGGGGATGAGCCTGCTACATGCGTTTTCACCAACACTGGCACTGTACTGATGGGGAAACACATCTATCTCGGTGGTTCTGACTGTAAGCTGCAATGCTCCCTCTGTCATCCGCTTTCTCCTGTCCTACTCGTGTAACGTGTCGATCGCAGTTGTTCTGACGTATGCTGCATTGCTCCCTCTATCGTTCGCTTTCTCCTATCCTTCTCATGTGACGTGTCTATCGCAGTTGTTGTGCCGTATGCTGCAGCCTGCAGTGGTCTCTTGATCATCTACTGTCTCCTTTGCCTTGCCTTCACAGTCCACACATCTTTGCCCCTCTCTCTCATCTGCTGATGATACCATGGGCATCAGTTTCGTAGGCTAACCCCTCCCTCTCTTGGCAATACCCCTGCAGTTTGCTCTGCCTACTCATACATACCCTTCCGGCTTCTCTCCTGGTGATATGCCTGCCTGTAGTTCCCTTCAATGCTCGCGCCCCTCCGGTTTCCTCTGCTGACCAGCCGCTTCTAGTCACATTAGTTCTGCAGATGTTTGCAGTTCTCGGGCCCACATCTGCTTTTTCGCCTTTTGATGATGGTAATTTGGACCATTTGTCGCTTTCTGCGTGTCATCCTTGAAAGCGCAGGGGCCATGCTAATCTCCTTTCTCTGTATCGTTCCATTTTTTTTTAACGGATGTCGTGAAGGACGCCATACTTACCTCTCCATTGCCTCCCGTTTCTTCTTTGGTATCCCTACCTCTCCGATGTCCGTGTCATCGACGCACCAACCCTTTGCTCAACCCACCTCTGCCGTATCCTCTCTGTCTGTGCATGGGCGTGTACGATTCCCTGTCCTCCTCTCCTTCCCTATCCCCACCATGGTCTCTGTTGGGTACAGATGCACCCGCTGACACTGTTCCTCTGTCATCTTCACCGATGGCACCCCTCTTGCTATAGACTATCCACGATTTGAATTGTCGCACCAATTGTCTGGGGA